GGGGGGGGGGGGGACTCCTTGCTGAGATGCACACAGGCCAGGGTGTGGTGATACTGTTGAACGAAGCGGTGAACGTGGAAATTGGAGGAAATGAGTAACCAAGTTACATTCCATTGTCAGCCTGTCCATATTGCCAGGTAATTAACCACCGGCTCCCGGCCCCTTCTTGGCCTTCCTCACGACCCTTATCCTGGCCACACCGTAAAGCTTCTGTGCCGTGCGGCAGCTCCAACACCAAGCAGCAATCTCCGGTCATGTGGCTCAGTTTCCATTTCAAAAACAGGACTCCGATCTTATTAATAATATCAAGGCCAAATGTTTTGACTACCTTTGATCTGTCATAAACCGTAATTATGGCTCCCGTCACCCTTTGGCTTCTTGAGTATAGCAAAGCTACAGCTAGGAGAACCGAAGATCTTACCCAGTATCAGTGATTTCTACTTGATAGACTCTAATTTCCAACTGACGTTACTTTCTATGTCTCCTATAGACACAATACAGGAATCGATAATGATAAAAATATGTCACAGCCTCAACATTAGTGATCCCGTGTGCTCTGTAAGCAGAAAGCGAATTGAGTTATCTTGGAAAAGACTGTTTGCAGACTTCTGTCTATCCTCAGAGTGCTTTATCACCTCGCATAACTGTGAACAAAACCAGTATCAAAATTTCACTTAGTGGCTGTGAGCTGCAACGTCCAGGATCTCCACAACCACCTTTAGTTACAGGTGCCGGAGCCTGACTGTGGAATCCGACATGCAAAACAAACACCCCGAAGCTTCCACTCACCGGTCTGAGGAATGGCTTCTGGACCTGCTTGGTGAGGATATGGAACATGTCCACGGTTTCTGTTGCCAGGGCGAGATAGGAGCGTGAAACACGTTCGTCCTGAGCAAGCTGGGACTGACGGGCTTGCTGCTGATCCTATAGGAAACACGGAGCAGACGCCAAGCCAAGGTCAGTATTGGCCGTGAGCTCACTGGCACGCCGAGCGTGATGGAAAATACAGTCCGCTCCTAATGGGACAAGGGCGCAGCAAAGCCAACATGCCGAGGGAATGGGAACAACCCAAAGCAGAGAATTTTCCAGATAAGGTACAGTTCATTCCTTTCAGCATCAGAACTCTCTAGGCCTCTGAGTACGGTGACCGTGGCCCATTATTTCACTTCCACGCGACTGGGTTTCCTCAATGATAAAAGAAGTCACGTTCATGTTCCGTGCGGGATGAAATAACTGATTCTTTCATCACACCCGATACACGTGGTTGCTAACGAAGGAGAGCTCGTTCCCCTTAATAACAACTGGCAGCCATCATTATTGTGAGAACATGGACGTGTTCTGCTCCGACACCGCGGCCAATAGGTTTTGCCCCTACATGGAGCGCCTACAGATCGCTAAAAGGTTCTGAGTTTCGTCAGGCTGTCAGCCCCGACAACGGTCAGCATTCTTGCCTCCGGCACCGTCCTTGTCCTTCAACTCTGCCATGGGCTGGGAACCAAGATGAGAAGGTGTCTGAGTCATGGGGAAAGCAAGTGGGGCCCTGAAGGCTCTGGGATGGAGAAAAGCCACAGAAACATCAGGGAAGACTGAAATCCTTACATCACGGCTCAGAGGCTGGTTTACTTTACGTAGAGGGGGAGGGGCAAGAGCCAGGACAGCTGAAGTCCCCCAACGAGTGCCCCTAGGGTAAGTGCCCTGAGTGGGTGCCTGGGGGAGGTTCTGCAACGATGCTGGGTGGCCTGCCCACTGCCCCTCGGTCAAGACTGCGCCTACGCAACATGCTGGAGCAGGAAGACACGAGGACAATGAAGTGAGAACGAGTGCAATGCGCACCTGCGTGTCGCATGCACTCGTCCAGACCTGGTGTCCGGGCCCTCCTCCAGGCCAGGCCCACCTTTCGGCTCTGGTGATAAGAGTAGAGAACGAGACCAAGAGGCCCGCAAGCCTCACGGAGCCCAGACTGCGGGGCAGGGAAGAGATAAGCAGTACGCAAACATGCTTCCCGATACACGGTAAGTCTGAGAGTGATGGAGACAAATAGAGCAGAATGAGAAGGAAAGCGGTCAGGGATGGCCTCTGAGAAGGTGACATTTAAGTGGGTATCTGAAGGAAGCGAGCCAGCAGAAATCTGGGGCAAGAAGGCCCCTGTGGTTGGGGGAGGGGGAGGGAAGAGGAAAAGGGTGGGGCCAGGGGCCCACTCTAATTCGGGTCTGGACCCTGAGTGAGAAGGGAAACCGGGAAGAGTTCTGAGTCAAGCGGCGATAACGAGCAAACAGGTTTAACAGCATCCCTCTGTTATGGACACGACAAAGGTGGCGAGAGACCGGTGAGAGGGGCGACAGCAAGCCAGGCGAGAGACGGTCTAGAGGTAGGGGAAAGAGAGGAGGTCAGACATGGGTATAGCTCAAGATAGAGCCTGGGGCTCCTGGGTGGCTCAGTCGGTTGAGCGTCTAACTCTTGATTTCAACT